ACTAGCTTTGTAAATGAATGGAGCTGTGACACAGGTCAGTGTGGTTACAAACTCTGCTAATACTAAGTGCTCCTTCACATAGAGTATCTTAACCACACACCCACATTCCTCACATAATCTCTAAGGTCCCTATTAAGTCTAATATGGAGCCCTTTATAGTAGACATGACACAAATAAATCAAACCACCATTTTACATGTTTTGTATCTTGGAGCAAATTAAAACATCAAATCTTTGAGAATTCTACTTAACAGCGTCTGAACCTCACTCAGTTTCTCACCACCCTTGAGAGCTGCTGAGCAATATAAAAGCAGTGTGTTCTGGTAATCTATCACTAATCAGCTGCTGTCCTCGTGATGTCTAGGATGCCACTAAGAGCAGCGGTAGTGATGATGGTTGTTGGCATTTTGACATCAGAGAAACAGAATATTTGTAGACTTCAAGGTACAAGTGTTTTTCCAGACTTCTTTAAAGACGGAGATATTGTGATTGGGGGAGTGTTTGCAATCCACAGCAAGACTGAGGAGACAGAACTCAACTTTAAAACCAAACCAGAGCGTCGAGCTTGCAAAAGGTTAGCTAATGTTCTGTTAGAAAATATCTTTACATTGCTTTGATAAAGACATTAGCCTTTAAATAATAATAATAGCTTATTTTTCATAGTATACTGCACTTTTAAATACCCCCCCCCATAGGATTATATCCCTTTTAACAAAGTCAGAAAAACAAAGAATGTAGTTTGCTTTTTAAACAGTACATGCTGTTTCATATTATTATAATTAATGTGCATTAAAATAAACTGTAACAAAGCTCAATATGATTTTGTCCTAGGATAAACTTGGGAGAATTTCAGTCAGCACAAACAATGATCTTTGCCTTGAGGAAATCAACAACAGAATGGATCTTCTTCCCGGTGTGTCTCTGGTATATAGGATTTTTGATTCTTGTGACTCCTCACCTTTTTCTGTAAGAGCAGCCATGGCTCTGATGAATGGATATGAGGAATCTTCTGACACCTCCTGCTCCAGACCAGCTGCAGCTCAAGCTATACTAGGAGAGTCTACATCATCAACAACGATAGCAATCTCAGAAGTTTTTGCAGCTTTTCATATACCTGTGGTGAGAAATTTTGAAAATGTCTCCTTCACTTTAATTTTTTTGGAAATAGCAATATCAAAATCAATTTCCAATATCAAAGTAGGCATTTTTAAAGGTGAAAAATATCTTACAAATTAATTTTAGATTCTGTAAAATAAAATCAGTTTAATGCTCAATTTAATGTACAACAGTAAACAACATTTTAACTGTGTTATTTGAGTCATTAATGGAATCTTTTCAGAAATCATGTTCTATTTTTGAACTTTTACAGATCAGTCATTTTGCTACCTGTGCAT